GTATATATATACCATATCATACGGTATATTACAACCATTATATTTACATTTATGCATTTAGCAGATGCTTTTATCCAAACCGACTTACAAGAGGAGGATTAACAATCAGGTTACATACATACATACATTAGGAAACAAGTGCAGGTGGAGCTAGAGGAGGGTAGAGGTAGAGAAGGACAGGGAAGTGTTAGGACAGGTGGTCTTCAAGAGGTTCTTGAAGATAGGCAGGGATGCCCCTGTTCTGGTAGTGCTTGGTAGGTCATTCCACCAGCGTGGAACAACTCATGAAAAGAGCTGGATTGCGGGGTCTTGGGACTGCCACATGACATTCCCTAGACGAGTGGCGAAATCGTGAGGGAACATAAGCCTTTATCAGAACACTTTAGTAGGTAGGAGCAGACTCATTAAGTACTTTGCAAGCTATGGGTAGACAGTGTTGCTCAATGAGCATGTGCCCTTCTAGGCTGATTGAAGACGAGGTGCGCTGCTGCGTTCTGGACCATCTGTAGAGGTTTCACAGCACAGTAGTCACATAGTCTGTACCAGGAGCTGGGTGGCATGTTGGGTTAGGTAAGGCCTCGTCTGTCTTATATTGAATAGTGTAAAGCGACATAACCTGGTGACAGAGACAACATGATCTGGTAAGGTCAACGGGTCATCCATCACGACATCAAGTTTCCTGCTACTTGGAGCCAGAGATAGGGAGTCAGTTTTGGTGGATATGTCATGTTGCATGGTTTAGCTGGAGGTGATGGGCTTTCACCCATACAGATATGTCAGAGAGACTATCTGAAATTCAGACAGAGTTGTTTAAGAATAAATGTAAGTAGAAGATGTAATCCTTCATTTAGAAGATGCACAAATTCAGTGTCACACATGAGCTCTCTCAAGCAAGGCACTAAAAGAACGACTATATAATTACTAGTTTTAGGTATTAGGCACATCATTATGAAGCAACACATTGACTTACACATTTACTGGTGAGGAGTTAAACATGCCTCATGTATGTAGTCCTCACAAAAAAACAAACAAACATTTGTTCAAGTCAATATTAACACAAATAGACCTCCCAATTGACCACTTCCCTTAATTACCCTGCTGTGTGTGGTGCAAGAGCACCGTACAGAGCATTCAGTGTTTTAGAGTTTGCTGTATTATTGCCACAACATAAACTCTAAAAGGGTTTGATAAGCAGATCAAATGAGGAAAATAAGAAATAAACATAGCAATTACAGGTAAAGCACAATAGGAGGAGAAGGACTAAGAGATACTTCGTTATTGCACATATTGCGTCACACAACAAAATTGTCCTCTGCATTTAGGTGCAGTAGGCTGCACTTTACTACGCCCAGGGAGTGGTGGAGTTCTCTGTCCTTGCTCAACACACCACAGCTCTGCCAGTAATGGGTTTTCAAACCACCAATGCTCCAAACTATGGTCCAGGCTGCCCCCTCTTTGGAAAACTGTTGGCATTTCCCACTTAATAATAAATGAACATTACATTGCTTAGTTTATGGTCTCTTACAGGGTTTTAGGTTATCTTTAATAGATATGATGTAAAGTTCATGATTTGAGAAAATATTTATATTTTTGGGACAATTAGAAATAGCAGGACAGCTACAGTCAACATGTGTCATATTACCATTTACCCACAAGCGTTAGCCTTAGCAATTTAATTAAACATATGTGTTGTGTCAGAGAGAACAATAAAATATTACTTACCCAAGCAAGCTGCAAGTCTGATGATCATGCAAACAAATCACAAGTGTTGACAGACAACGTTTGGCATCGGTCGTCAGCACAGAAATAGATCTGGATTAAGATCAGTTGCAGTATTAAATAGACAGAGGTTTGTTGGGATGTTGAGTGGATAATGTTTCAGTTCCTAGAAAGGTGCCGAAGGTATCTTGTACAGGTTATATTTTATGCTGATATTATTATCTTTATGTACATTGTGTGACGAAACAGCCCTGAGGGAATCAGTCACAAAACTCATGCTAAGACTTAAATTGTTTTGGTATACTAGTGGAGATAATAATCACAACAGGGAGGAAATAATTAAAATAACAGACTTTTACAGAAGACTTTGCTATGTGTCCTTGATCAGGGATAAACCGGATATGATTTTTTGTTTAGCAATACACTTTAAAGTAAACTATTTTTTAGTTATTTCCCGTATGATAAATTCTGAAGTGGATTATTTTATGGTTGAAAACATAATTTTATGCCCTTTCTTTAATGTTAAGTCATGATAAAACACACTCTAGTTGTATAGATTGAAAAAGAATCAAGTCTTCAGCCCTTTTCCAATCTAGTGACGGTAACTTATAGACGAGACAATGCTGCCATCTTGTGGACATAATATGCAATGACAAAAGATTCGATCACATCCGATCAAGTAAAACGCCTTATACTGTGATGCGGTTTCGTGAATATTCACGAATATTCATATTTTCAAATGGTCTTAAAAAATAATTTTGAAAAAATAGTCCAATCATCAAAAGGGGGCACTACAGAGAACGTTCGGAAACCAGTGGTGTAAAGTAGGATCGATTTTCTGTAGTGGTCTAAAACAATGTCAATTTAAAGGAATAACAAAGGAGAGTGTTAATAATGGCATTATTTCAAGTAAAATTAAAATGAAAGAAATAATAAAAATAAATAATTCATATAAAGGAACAACACTTGTGAATTAAAATCCACTGCGTGTATTCCAACCTTGATGATGGATCCAGTCATTCTAAACTACTGATGACCTGCTTAGAGTCAGCCCAGTGATGTCTGACCCATAACGAGCAGCCTGGGATTCAACAACTGCACAAGACACTGTCAAGAGTTAAGCCCTCGAGCCAACGTTTTAACACAGTTATCACATTTATTAAGAAGAGAGTAGCATAAACCGGTAAAATGCATCTGAGACTGCAGCACATCAGTCCTGGATCCTGAGGGTGGACGTTCACAAAACAGAAGCGAGCAAAGACTGTTGTAAAGAGAAGGCCATTCTCTCTGCGATGCACTGTTCAGCTCAGAAAAGAACCATTACACACGTACACAGCAGGCTGGAACACAGAGGAGGAGCACCATTGACATTAAAGCTTTTAATCATTCATCATGTCTAAACTTCAAACAGGAAATGATCATTTACAAGTTGGCCCGCCACTCAGTTCTCAGTGTTTTAAAAGGGTAATGCACAAAGAAAAGAGATATGACGTTTAGATGTGTGGACTGAAGGAAATTGAGTTATTTTCAGTTTGACAGACGTGAATAGCTGAAACTTATGCCGCATTGCAGCACGGGTCACCAACTATATTTGTTGGAGGGGCAGAATTTTTCACGACAGACACCTGAGGGGTCGGACACTCAAATAAATGAAATAAAAATCCCATTTCTGCCTAACACTATTATTTGATGTATCCAGTAGTGGGGTGGATTGGATGGTTCTTTGGGCCAGATTTGGCACAGGGGCCACCAGTTGATGATCTATATTTCACACCCTGTTACTAAGAGCTGTAACCACGAACTTTGTGAAAGTACTATTACCCCAATACTTCCTACAAATATTCTTTTAACTTCAGATTAGGATTACTGCAAACTGGATTCCACCATCTCCTCATAGGTTGGCCTCACATTTAAGAGTCTGGCCTTGGGAAAATGTGTATGGTTATTCAAATTTTTGTGCAGTTTATTTCAGATTACACTCTCAGTGTCAGGTCATTTTCTTCACATCTTGTCACTCAAGACGAGAATCACAGTGAAAAACTCAGGTGAACTATTCCTTTAAATGCAGGTCCTACTGTACGCTATACTAATGAGTAAATGTCCACAACTTAAAGTCAATGTAAATTCAGATTTGACAAACAGCTGGTGCAAATGACTCAAACTCCTTTTTGTGCCTTCCAATAATTGTTCAAAATAAGTTTCTGATATTTTCTGAAAAGGTTACATTTGGTGGGTACAAGGTCAGGCTGCCTTGGATCACAGAGAAAACAACACTCAGTGTGCTGTGTTGGAAACTTGTGCCAAATGGACCAGTGTGCATTTCTGTGCTTTTTTTCCCCCAGGAGAGGCATTTGTAATGCAGAAGAGAAATGTGCTTTTTGAGTGGTGTAAAACAGAAGTGACGTTACTGTGCTTCATGTTGTGCATTAGAAACGCGTACAGTCTCGGGTCGACTCAGCCGCCTGATTCGGATGATAAGGCGATTCTTTGGACATGTGTTTCAGCTTAACATTTTTCAATTCTTTAAACATTCTTAAATGTGATAAAAGAATTATGCATGTTTAAAAAACTAATAGGTGAACTATCGGTAGACAAAATAATATTTGCACAGTCTGGATGAGCTCTATATTGGAGATATGGAAAGCATAAACTCTGGATAAAATACATTTTAAAAATGGATAATAAACCTCTTCAGTTTCTCACCAGGCTCCCAGCTCCAGGTATATTACAGTTTGTTTTGGCATGCCACAATATAAAAGGATGAATTTTTCATAAGGCAAAAAACATACAAGACTCTCAAACTTAAAAATAATTGAGCTCTGGGTCCAACATCTCTCATCTGATTCTCTGAGTGTTTTTGATTTTTTTTTTTCCCACAACGCAGAGCTTGGCACGTGAGTTCATCTTAAGAAACAGAGCCTGTAGGTCAACAGTATATATATATTTTTAAAGCAGAATATAAATGAGAAAAACCTGGGCCCGTATCTGCAGAGATACATCCTGGGCACCGTCACAGTGTCACATCTGATCAGCAACTGGTTTATAACTAGCTGCTGTTGTGTTTCCCCATGATTTGGACACAGATCAATACAACGTCCTTCTTCAAAACCAAAGAAATCATAGGAACTCCAATAATGTAGCATATTTCTTTTCTGTAAGAGCATAAAATAATTTTGTTCCAGAAAATGTTTTAAAAATTGCTATAAAAGTAGGTACTCTTCAGGCAAAAAACCTTTAAGAAGAACAGACTGACTTGGGTTTTGTGCTCCTTTGGTAGTAGACTACATCCTTAACCCCAGTGACAGGCAGCCAGAGATGAACTAATGACCCTCCAGGAGCGCTGCAGCGTGAAGGTCGCTCCTGTTTTGCCTGTTTCACTTTCATATTTGTCTAAATCTGCTGTCTGTGTGGTCTGTCTTTCTCACTTCAGTTCAGGTTTAGTCTATGCTCGGCTGCTGAGAGATCTAGGGGCAGGAGGAGGAGGTGGAGGGGGGCTTCATGTATCACGTGATCAGACAGCAGTTAATGCAGCGAGGTCCCAGTCTTCTCTTTAAGGTTCCCTTCTTTCTCTTAGGAGTGAGGATGGCGATGATGGCTTCATCAAACACCGTCTTCAGGCCTTTCTGGGTCAACGCTGAACATTCCACATAACAGCAGGCACCAATCTGATGAAATAAAGAACAGACAGTCAGCAAAGAGATAGCAATAACACTGGTAGTTTGGGAAGTCTCTTGAATTTTCTGTTGAATTGAAAAAAGGGGACAAATTAAATATTTTCTCAGATGAACAACAAACACAAACAGCTTCAGAAACTTTCACCCAATGTCACAGTTTTTGTTGTAAAAACTGACAAAGAAAACACAAATGTGTGATATATATATAGGTTGTATTATCATTTTGAAATGCTACAAAAATACTACATCATGTAGTAATGATATGCTACGACAGACCTGTCTTTTGGTAGGCCTTTAAAGGGTTGAGGTATAAATGAACCAAATAATCTGAATGACAACAGATCTGTATTCAAAAATTCTATTTATTGTTGCTCTATTACATCAATCTAAAATACCCTCTCAACTACCACAGGGTCAGTCTGCTTGTGTGAGACTAGCCTCTCTGAGCGCAGGACAGACTGCGACTGTCTATGTCCACTTCTGCTGTGGCCACCAGTCCCCTGTTTGCCTTGGCTCAGGTTGACACTTCTAACTTTAGCAGCTAACGACCAGAGAGCAGAGCTAATATTAGAGTGTCCTCACTTTACCTCATTAAGTTAGCCGTCAGCTACTATACTTGACTTCATCAACAAATGTTTTCATTTACAAACACAGTGCTCCAATAACCCGAACCACTGGGGGTTAATTATAACTATTTCGCAGTAGAATACACAAAGCTGCTTTATTGACTGTCACATTTGTGCAGTGAATGTAGTACCTCACTGAAGCACAGTTATCTAGGCTCAGCGTTACGATGTCTATCCTGGGTGTAATGATTCAAGAAGGCCAAGAAATAATTTGACAGTCACAACTACATTTCTGTTAAATTAATTAAAAAACAAAAAAGGTTGGTCGGTGCTGGACTTTCTGTCTTTTAGACAAAGCCGGACCAGCTGCATTCCCTTGTCCCTAATGCTAACTTCCTGAGTGCATATAGAAGAGAAAGTCTTCCAGTAAATAACATCCATGATGATACAGAATCTATTTCCATGTGATAAAAGTGATGAGAAGAAGGGGGATTTCATTACCACTGAGACAGTCTCTACCTACAACCTAACCTACATGTTATGACCACAGAGGAATCACTCTACAAACCTCTTTAGCCAGTTTCTGTCCTTGCTCTGTAGCTATTGGCTTCTCCTTCATGTCATTCAGTTTGGCAATTGTCTTGGGATCATCACGAAGGTCAATCTGAAAGAGAGCCATGTCAGAATTATAGTTGACTTAAACATTCAAACATCAACTTTGATAAAACAGTAGACCAGAAGTTTCCAAAGTTTTTTGGCTTGTGACCCCATTCTGACACTTGCAGCCATTTGATCACAGCTGTCAATCAAAGTGTGCTCAGATATTTTACATGCTTATTTGAGATTGTGTGTAGTGCTTTAAATAAGAATTTTCTTTAAATTTTAATTTAAAAAAAAATCTAGTAATTGATAAAAAAAGTTTTAATCAATTACTAGGTATTTCAGGGGACCCCATGTGAATTCTATGCGACCAATCATGGGGTCACGACCCCAAGGTTGAAAAACACTGCAGTAGACTCACTCATAACTACAAGTCATGTGTAGTTTGATGAGGTTTGATGAGGGTAAGGATTTTTTCGTTTGTGTCATTTTGTGAATGACAATCCCATTTAAAAGAACAAACACAATAAAGTGTGATCTTATCATGCAGGAGCCTGCTACAGACCAAAACATAATTGAAGCTACCAGTATCTTTAAATAAATTATTATTTTAAAAATATTAAATACTAATACTAAAATAGTGCTGTTACTTGTTAATAAGCACTTAAACTTGTTAGGGAATTATTAGCTAAAATCACGACACAAACAGGTAAAAAGCAACATTTCTAAAACAAGCAAATCACCGATGGTCGCCCATTTCTTAATATATGTTCTATGCATGTTAGGACACCTTTCTGAGTCCATGCTGTCAAACTGTCGGCGTTGTGTCATTCTGAAACCAGCCAGTGTTGACACACACACTTCCTGTTGTGTAAAGCCATTTATCACACAAGGTGCCACAGCGTTCTTCTTAGTCACAGCATCGCAGACAAACAGCATCAATCTTTTGGCTTTCACCTGA